CAACTTTCCTTTCCTGCAAACATGGCGATGACATGATGCTGCCTTTTTGTTGCAAGCACGGCGACTTTCAAACAGCAGGGTAGTTGGGGGGCGCCACCCCCCGTCTGAAAACAATATGATCCGCACGGCTTTCCCTTACTTCTAACATGGTGCTGACATGACTTCTTATTGGCAGCATGGATGGTTTAAAACAGCAGGGGTTGTGGGGGGCGCAAAACAAAATGGTCCGCACAATTTCCCTCTCCTGCAAACGCGGTGATGACATGATTTTTTCCATTGGAAGCAAAGATGGTTTTAAAGCAGTGGGGGTGTTGAGGGGGCACAGCCCCCCTTATTAGCAAACAAAATGATCTGCACAAGTTTCCCTTCCTGCAAACATGGTGATGACGTGATGTTTGTTTATTGGAAGCATGGATAGTCCAAGAGGCTCCAAGAGTGACAGCAACAACATCTACGAGGATTACAGCCTTTGCTGTCCTTGGAACATCTCAAATGCTGCAAATTACAGCATTTGCTGGTCTATACTTCAAATGCTGTAAACTACAGCATTCGCTAGTCTTGGCACGTGTCAAATGCTGTAAATTACAGTATTTGTAATTACAGCATTTGCCGGCCTTGGAATGCTTCAAATGCTGCAAATGACAGCATTTGCTGGTCTTGGAATGTCTCAAATGCTGCAAATTACGGTATATCAAAAGGACCACAGGACCACGGGACCCGAAGACCACGGGACCAGAGGACCACAGGACCAAGGGACCAGAGCCACACCAGGACTGGGCCACACCTTTGCAAAAAAAAAAAAGGACCCGTTCAGGTTTACCCGGCCAAAAAGACTAGGGGTTCTATGAAGCGGTCCTCGAAAAGGTCGACTAGGTGCCGAAGCTGCAGGCATTGCAGGCGTTAGAGCCGATGCCTTGGAACCTGCCAGGGCAAACATGGGCAAACTACACAAAACTCACCAGTCGGGTGTGGTAACTCTTCCCACCAGGCAGACTGAGGAACAGACGGGCGTCGCCTGCTTGTCTCCCTGGCCTTGCTCCACACTCTTGACCGCAAGACACTGGCTTATGCATCATCTCGTAATTTTGCAGAATTGCTTTTTAACAGAACATGGTACCTGGTACATTACTTTATTGCTTCAAGCAAACAGGCAGGCCCTAGCAAAAAAGCGTCTTGCTAACATGGTCCTTGGAAACAGCACTTCAGATCTTGGCATCCCCTACTTTGCCCCTGACATCCGGTTCTTCTCCTCCAGACAGAACAACCCTCCCTGAATTCTCCGCCGCGTTATTCAGGACTTGCTTTCTAGGACCGCTTTGTGGATGGTTTCATTCAACGCGCTTCCACTTGCTTTGAGAGGGATTCTTAGGTAATCTGCATGACATCGACGTGGAGTTCAAGAATGAGCTTCCGCAGGAGCTTCCATGAACGAAAGTGCTTCTGTAAACGCTTCCACGCGCATCCGCATGCACAATCTCAAGCACTTTTTGCAGCTGCTTGCTGGCCTGGCCGATTGCCGCTGCTGTTTGTTTTCTGTACTGAGGAATCTGCCCACGAGTGCAGTTTCAGTTGGTTACCTCGAAGGCGACTGGAACCTCTAACACTCTAACAAACAGCGAAAACAAAGTCTGTTCTTGGGAGATCCTTTGATTCTCTGCTTCCGTCAGACACCTGCCTGGATGCACTTCTAGCAGCTGGCAGCTCCTGCACGCATGGGACGCACCGCATGCAGATAAAGGCAATCGAACGACGCTTCATGAAATGTACCCATGTTGGAAAGAAGACGCATGACTCAGGCGGATTCCGATTGCCCATGAGCACGAGATCTCCTTGCTGGCGGAGGCTCGTGGCACAGACCTGCAGTGCTCAACCACTCAAAGCATCTCTGCTTTGTCTCCTACACGCAGAGCAACAAGCATCCGTCGACATGCAGCAATATGCGGAGCTGGCACTGCTGTTTTTTCCCGGCTGTCCATCCAGCGCCCATCTTTGAGAGTATGCTGCAGTAAATCTCCGCCGGCCTCCTGCTCTTGGACCTACCAGACTGGAAGATTGCAGACATGGCATGTAAGTCTGAGAGGTGCACTGGTAAAGCCGACTTCGTGCGCGGGACGCACAACATGAAGACTCTGAATCACCTACATTGGGAGTGTTCATGACGTTGTTCTAGCAGACAGCAAGCATTCCAGAAGATTCACAGCAAGTTTGACCAGGTTCCCTGAACTCCCTGAACCGAGCAGCCAGAGGTCGTAAACCTGCAAATGCGTCCTTTGCCATTCTTGCGTGTATAAGCCTACAAGCCAAAGCCCGCCTGAAAATTCCCGGAGCCAGCATCAGCAGCATTAGAAGGTGTCCATTTCTAATCAAACCCTCGGAAGTGTTCACAAGGTCCAATAGATTGAACCAGGTTCTAGGCGTGCCCCGCGCATGTGTCCAAAGGACTGAGACCTCTGGAAATCTTCGTACGACATTGTAGGTGGTGTCGCGCCACATGTAGTTTTTCCACTCCCAAACCCGTGATGGCTTCCTTGAACTCTGCCTCCACTGGATGTTTCCGCCTCGCTTTGGCATCGCGTCCACAACATTTTTCTCGGCCGGCCTCTGGCCAATGCGGCCTGGCTGCTATCACACTGCATCTCAGCAACAGCAGCACTCGACTGCTGGCAACATCCAACATCCTGGATGTCCTGAGTAGGCCCTTTTCTTGTGAAGTGTGGAACTCGGACTGCAACATTTCTCATGGACGCATCCTGATTAGAAGTCACGCCTCCTGAAAACCAAGCTCTCTGTGGCCTGTTCAGGGAGTGTCTGTGCATTAGCTCACGTCGCAAATGGCTTTGCCATCCGAAACCTGCGTTAGCTCAAGCCTGGCAGGCAACAGCCCAGCGCAAGCAGCGCAAGCAGCGCAAGCAGTGCAAATCAATTGGTCAACTCAATTGAGCAATTGATCACAATTGGCCTGCAAGCGAAATACAAATTAAAGCGACAGGCATCCTTGCAAGCAATGATGCGCAGGCAATGTTGGAAGTCCTTGGCGGATGGCGTGCTGAATGATGAGCGCAGTAGAGAGACTTTTGCTTCTAATTTGATTGACCTTGCCAAGGCTACTGCCCTGATTCCAAGCTGGTCGAAGACGCTGCTGAGCTGGTTGAAAACGAAGTCGTGGTCCTCGGTGGCCAGAATGCTCGTGAATCCCCTTGCTTCACTCTCCCCAAGACTTTGCCTGAGGAACCGGCCCATGCCATCCACCAGTCTGATTATCTTCCGGCCTTGAGGCCATATGACTGACAACGATCCATCCACAGCAGCATGTGGCCAAAGCAAACAAGCTTGCACACACATCCAAGTCGCGTTGAGATGTTTGCTCCTGTCGTCTCGCCAGCAGCAGTGGAGCTAGTGCTTGATGTGCTGGCATCAACATCTGCGCTCGATGTGCTTAGAGATGTTGTGATGATAAACTGCGCCGCAAGTTCTTCAGAAGAACCATCCACGGCTGACAGGTTGCCGACAACACCCACAGAAATGCTGTCTTCACCGAGCGCGTTTGCTACTTCGAGCAAGAAGGGCGAGTTGCTGCCCAGGCTTGACAATCCGATTGCTGCCGCACCCACACCGGCGTCATCCGAAGACATGGCCACTTCGAGCGTCACTGCACCTGTTGTCTCTGCAAGACGCCTGGCTGCTGTTCCACCCACCAATGAGATGGAAATCGCTCCCGGAGGAAGGAGCGATGCATTCGCGACTGCTCGCGCCAGAGAATCCTCGGAGCCTAGATCGAAGCCGCGGGTCAGGCCCTCCAAGCGCATTGTTTGTCTCAGACCGACTACATGTAGAGTGCAATCCTTGACCGGAAGGAAGGATCCATGCAAATAGGGTGGCGGCCCATCATGCTGCCTTGCTGTTCGGTATTGCCGACATCCTTCTGCAGAGCTGAATACACATGATCCAATTCTGAAAGAAGGCGAGATGGCCCAATCGCCCTTCTTGCAGTCCCGATGAAAAGCAGACAACAAATCCACGTCATTCTCGACATACAGCAGGTAGGTCGACGGCGCATCAGCCCTGCTAAAGACGAGCGCGCGCTCCGAAGAGAAAGTATACTACGTCAAATGACAAAGCCTAAGGACAATGATCATAATCATGTCTATTGCCAAGATTCTCAGTCAACACAGAGAAGGCAGCGCTAAAATTGCTGGGCATTGCTGAAGCTCGCGGGCGCAGTTCGACAAAATACCCGTCGCCTGCCTCAGAGCTTGCACTTTTGCATCATGTCTTTTAACAGGCAGCGATGCTGCAAATAGCAGCCTCCAGCGTCGTTGGAACTTGCCAAGAGAAAACACCTTGCGACGCATCCTGTGTGCCTCACGCAAGTCAACATGCTTTGGAGCTCCAGAAGCGGCAAGCAGCAACATCATAGACTGCGCCTAAGTGAACAGAATCCTTCGTCCGATCCTCTGGGCAGGAGCTGTGCTGCCAGAGGTAGAAGTCCTGCAGCGGATTGAATACATGCAAGTAGGCCATGCAGCCAAAGGCTGCCATCATGGGCCATGGGCATGCAACATGACCGCATTATGAAAACGTAGCAGGCGTCCAATGTGAGTCCAGCGGGCAGCCGCTCTGCGCCACCCCAGACAACCTTGTAGCGCTTGCCCTTCACCAGCACAGCTCCTTCCAAGACAGACATCGCAAGGAGCTACTGCCGCGAAGTCTCCGCCAAGCCCCAACCCACCACAAACTAGCCTCGTATTGCGGGCCTTGGTTACCTCTTTGCACAGTTTAACTCCGAGCTGAATGAGGTTGTCAGCAAACAGGTCGCCAAGCCAGCATCATCTAAATCTAATGGATGCTGCAGAATCCCAGCATTTGGCATGGGCAGAAAATTAAATGGGATCTAAATGAAACACTCAATTTTCTGGGAAATGTGTAGAATCTGCAGTGCAGAGACCACACACCCTAGGAGCGGTAATTGCACGATGTCACTTGGACCCAATTGGGTTCTAAGCGCTCCCGGAGCATCTCGCCCACCATTTTACAGCTTTACAAAGGGGGTGGAGAGGTGCAGGGCACGGGTTTTGATATTCAATGCGGGCCGGGAGTCTGACGATGATGGCCCCAGAGTTGGCACAATGGTGTAATTAGATGGTTGGAGATAAGGCCCGAAGTAGATTTAGTTGGAGATCCATCGCATCAGCGCTGCATCAGCTGTAGTAACTATATAGTAGTTGTTTCTGCTTCTGTTCCCAGATAACGGCTCGAAGAACTTCAGATATAATAACTGAAGAAACCTTTCCCTCAGTTCCCTGGAGTAGCATGTTTCTGCCATTGCAGGCCCAAAGGCAACAACCTTCAAAGCAGCATCAAATGGTCAAGAAAGCTCATCAAATCTCCCCGGCACATGAATCTGAAACTGCCTATGGGACACAACAACCCCAACTGCAGCAAGATCTGATTGGATACCACTTCCTCCGATACGGATCCTGGCGAGCTCAACTATTAGAAGCCTAGTAGCTGTGAACCCTTTAGATGCCTTGCTGGGGTTGCCAGACCGCAGGAGGGCCCAAGAAGCTGTCAGGCGGAAGACCTTGGAGGAGATGCGAGCAAAACTTGCAAGCTTTGCGTCACCAGCCGTTGTGTTTGCGCAACGTGTTTAGGGTCTGCACCTCTGCCGGCAGAGTTGGCCACGACACATGCTGGCCGGCTCCCGGCAAGTCTGTCCAAGAAGGCGTGCACCTCACGCCAGAGCAACCAGAAGGAGCGCAATCACTTCTAGGATTCTAGCACTCTTCTATAGGGCATACCCTCCTCTGAGAACAGGGCAGCTGCTGCTGCCGGCGAGGTAGCTGTGGCTGCATCATAATACTCCCGGCTGCCCCACTGCCCATATTTTGACCAGAATCCAGTGTCAACAAAGTACATGAACAGCGAATCTCCTGCTTCCTGGCAGTTGACGGGTCTGACAGTATGCCGTCGTCTTTGGCTTTCAACTTTCTTCAACACGAAGGCCCTCCGCTTCTTTCACAACGCGTATTCAACAAAGAAGATAGAGCTTGCAAGAATTCAACGTCCAACATGCGAATCGCAGTCCTCCCGGAACATGTCCAACCAATCTTCCACGGCTGCTTGAAAGTCCGGCGAGCGGCCAGTGGCCATTAGCAACTCAGTTATGGAGCCAATCGCCTCGCAAGCATCAATAACAAACAACATGGATTGGCAAAGCGCCTTGACCAAGGAGTAAGCTGAAGTCAACCCTTGTGATTTCCTTGTAATGCTCTTTAGCTTTATGTGCGAAGCAGAATGCTGGGCATGTCTATCACCAGCTATTCAACATGCAACTGCACAAGGTCCCACATTTGTCTGTGCTCGTATTTCTTCTTCTGTCATCGCTGCTCGAAAAGGGCAAGTGTTTTCGTCGTTCCTTGACTTGGGCTTCCATGAGCAGCCAGCTGCTTTTCGACAATTGCTAAAGACTGAGGTTGACTATTGCCAATAATTAGTGGCTGAAGCCTCTCTTAATCCGAAAGCTGATCTCAGGTGTTCCTTACGTTGCCTATGGCAGGAGTGCAAGCCGCAAGCCCCTTTCTTGCGCATGGACACTGCTGCGCTGCTGCGCTGCTGCGCCTGGCCCGTCTCGATCGTGCCATCTTCTACGAGTCCGACGCCGCCTTCGTAGAAGGTAAGTCCTGCTCAAGACTTGGACGTGGGCCACACTGAGTGGTTGCGAACCAACTGGTACCCTGCCTAAGCCGAACTCTTCAGCGAGCGCCTTCTGCCCTCCGACATACGAGCGCGCGCTCTCCTTTCCCTGTTTGAAAAGGTCAATGACTTCAGGAGGCGTACGTGCCGAGTAGGACTGGTCAATGCCACCTGCGAAGCAGATGAGTTTAAGCAAACGAATCAGTTTGCTGAAAGCTCTACGTATTTCGGCAAGAACGCGCTTAAGGAGCGGCCAGCCTGTTGGACTCATGTATCCGGTGATGCCAAGCAAGTCTGCCCCGGCGGCGTTGTTCTGCGAGAAGAGATCTCGCGTCACGTCTATCCAAACCTCAGTGTTGTGGCGCGAGCCATCATGGACAATGGAATCAGCTGACTTGCTTCTGAGCAACTGCCTGCGTAGACAGGACAAACTTCACACGGCTCCTCTGCTGAGCCCACACATCAGCCCAAATGTCAAAGATTTGCTTCGAGCGGTATGCCTCAGGTGTCGGCTCTCATGTACCTACCTGTTGACTTTGGCAGGGACACTCACCCTTTTGTGCAACCCTTATCTGACGCACGGGCAAGGTGCATTGTAACGAACACGGGCGCAGTGAGTGTCTGGCGTTCTGCAAGTTGAGTTCACCAGCCCGAGCTGCGTTCCCTCACGGTCCGAAGGCTCAGGCGGGGTCAACATCAAGAAATGAGCATACCGTTAAGCAAAAAAAGATACGCTGGCCCTTTACTTACTTTGGCAAGCTGCTAATTTTCACCAATTATGTAGCACTACTACCCAAGAAACCCGTTGCACCAACTGAGTCCGAAGCTTTTACCCTGAAACGAAAACCTGGTGCCGCGGCTTCTGACTCTTCCAGGACTTGGGTCGCACACTGTACAACTTACGTGGTTAAAGTCTGCAGAGGTAGATTTGTCTTCTTCTGAATATGTATACCAGATGATTGGAACGTCTGATTGCAGCGGAAACTGATCTTAGATTCTTTCTGCTCAACGGCACCCTTGCTTCTGAGGCCACAGAGCGCTTTCCTCTGCCGTCATCAACTTTCGTGGATTTGGGGAACAGGCTGTTTTCTGTTCTCGCATTGCTTTTCTTTTTCGTGATCTATCGATACTTTTACTGTCATCACAAGCACTACACTCACTACAATTTGGTGTTGTTCTGCACGAGACATGCGGTCTCGCGGCAGCTTCAGTGCTTTTGGTCATGCAAACGCCCTTGAGGTCAAAACTAGCCCAACCACTATCAACGACCCACGACACGCTCTGACATGCATTGACTACCAGACCCTATCTGCTCAACGCAGCAAAGGGCCTTTTCCGTAGCATACCGACCTTGAGGAAACAATGGATTCCAGACTTCATTGCTGTGCTCCACGTAGATCTGGACATCTGGGCGGAGATTCTCAAGCCAGAAAGTGGCTTCTTGGCGGACGTAGTCATCTGATGCAAGGTGGTGCACAGTCACCTTGCAAGTCGATAAGGCTGGACACAAACAAGCAGAGACGAGTATAGTCTAGCCAAGCATCCCAAGGTGCTGCTCCCAAGGTGTTGACCAACAGTGCCTGACAGCACCCGAACAAGATCTTGCTGCTGAGTGAGTCTTGCAGAACAAAAAGAGCCATGCGACGTGCCTGATATTCTAAGGCAACTGGACCTGCTTTCAAGAGGACAAGCTGGCATCAGATATCACAGGCAACATATGAATCAAGACGTGTCTTGCTTGCAGGTTGCCTGCCTGTCACTTGTGAACGATGACTTGGCAAGACACGGTCCTTGAGCAAACAGGCTGCAGTCAACTGCAATTGTATATTGAGAGACCAAGGCAGTGTCGGCCCATTGCCAAAGATCACCTTGCCGCCGGAGCGGATACCAGGAGTCCTCCTGCACCACGTACAACGCACAAATAATCCAGCGCATATCTAGCGCTATCCGCTATCCTTAACAGAACATTGCGGCCTGTGCTTAAACCTAGACTCAGCTAGGCAGCATCTTGCTCTTCTGCAGGAGGCTTAGCTCGGCCCAAGATCTAGTTGCAGTGCAGCTTGCTTCCCGAATACCGAGAAGCCACATATTCCGCTAGGAATTCCTTGTACGTTCAGGTGTGCATGTTCTTGTGAATGACGTCACTCGCGAAGTGACGAAACCAAATTCTGCTTGGGACTTCCCACTGCTGAGTTTCGGAGACTGTGCTATAACGTTCGTGGACTCCCGGGCTTTGCTTCTCAGCAGTCGCCATAGTATTGCAGCATTGCACTCAGAAAAAGACTCCGGACTAGCTTGGCAATCTGGGCATGCCTGCTTTAATGCAATCCCACTGCAAATTAAGGTACGAGCAAGATCTAGCTGCAACGAGCTCAAATGGAGTTGCATCAAGTCCTCGGGGCTGCCATACGCTGCAACGCGCCGCCGGTAATATGTCACAGGTTGCACCGTATTTCTAGCATCCGCCACGGTCCACGTAAGACCATCGTCCGATGTCTCCAACAACCACATCACCTCACCAGGAAGAGCGGCTCGATTCAGCATGTGGGCCCAACGGCATGTGGTGTCTTTGAAGTGCTGCGAGAGTCACCGGATCCACACGCCTGCTCCAACCTGATGTCATCCACATGTAGCTGCTGAAGGCTGCACCTTGAGGGGTGCTCATCAATCATATCAATCACCTTCCAATGCTTCAACCACGTGCTTCACGAATTCAGGGCCTTCCGGAAGCTCAACAACCCCTCTCAGCTGCCCCTCAGCATCAGGAACTGGAGCCTTAGGTGCCGGATGCTTGACATGGCACAGAGGCAAGATGGGAGATCTGAGAAACCCAGTCAGTGTTCGGATCACCATCGCACAGCTCCGGGGAAGTGGATGTACAACCTGGGCGAGGTCGGCTTTTGTCTGCTTCGTTACACGCTGCACAAGGCGAGTTGCTCAGTAATTCCCCAGCAGGTCCTTTCAGCAGCAATTCCGAGATCCTGCGCAGGGACCCCACACCTGTGCCACATGTTGCCACCCACTAATAAGCAATACTCACCCATCCTAGGCAGACTTCCCCCATGCGTGGCCGTTGATGTGAAGCGAACATATCGGGCTGTAAATGGAGCACGCTTGATGAAGGACTCCTCGACCATGCATCATGCAAGAACGCAGGTTGAGCTGACAGCGTTTTACACCGTGATCTTTCACTCTCAGCACTCAATTCTTCTTACATGCCGCTCATGTAGTGCTGCAACGGCGCGGAGTTGATGTGCGTCCAATCCATGAGACGAATTGTAGAGAATCTCTCCAAGTTCTTCAAGAAAAAGGGGTGGAAAGGCTCTTGCTCATGCGTCGCAAAGAAACCTGCCAGAATTGGAAGCACTGCATGAAACGTGACATGTTTGGATTCACCTGAAAACTGTCTCCTCAGCTTCAGGCGACACACTTCAGCCTTGCTTTAGTTGATCGAAAGGTGCTTCTTGGAAAAGGTTTTTTCAAAAGCGCCTTCCAATTCCTGAAAAGCTGCAACCTAAAACCTAGAGTGGCTAAGGCTGAATCGTGACGGAGTCCCCAAAACAGTTGATCTTCCTCAGAAGCCGGCCTGGCATGATAATTTGAATGTTGCGCATTGGGTTCTCTGGGTTGATGCGGCGTATGGTAATCGCTATGCCATTGTCGGAGCAGTACGCCAACCTTGAGGTTTGCACGCATGAAATTTCTCACCACCATGCTCACAATAGCTCCCCAGGCTTCTTATTCATACAACACTTCATCTGATTTATCAATGGTTAGTATCCCTGTTACCTGCATCGCGGCACATTCATTGTGAAACAACTCTGCCCCTCACAGCTCGACAAAGCTGAGATGCCACCCGGCTCTGTCAAACCAACACTCGCGGCGGCAGGTGGGCTCAAAATCCACATCAATGCGGCCTGAAAGCTTGCTTTGGTAGTCCCTATGAGCATTTTGACCTCTCTAATGTTATTCGACGTAACTTTGCCGAATGCCTTTTTGGAAAGCCGCCGGCGTCGCATCCATCCCCAGATCCAGTTCGCCGTCGCCATCATAAGTGATGACGTAGCGACCCTTGGGCGCATGCAGGCAGACGTCGCGCAGGGCCAGGGTGATGACCGCCTGGTCCTGCAAACTTGAAGTAGAACAGAAGCCAATACAACAGAAAATGACTAAAATTGCTCCTCCTGGAGAGATGTAACATACCCTTCTGAGCTCTGGTTGATCTGTAAGCCGTTTCCCCACTCATACTGGCGGCTTGTCCACATCAGGCTGCCACCCTGATACGAGAATTGGCCAGGCTGGGTATCCCTGTCCCATATGCTTGTCCACCCGCGGGCAGTCTTCATGACGTCAACGAAAGTTGAAGGCGTTGTGGCCTTACGTTCGGCGTTGCCGTCTTTACTATGATGAGTGACTTGATTGACAGCGTTCACAATACTATCCCAGCCGGAGAGATAAGTGACCCTTTTGATCACATGCAGACCGGCCGACCATCCAGAGTATAGCTGGGAGCATGATTAGGAAAGCTCAAGGCTTTTCCACGCCTGTGCCCTGCTACGTGCTGTTGAAGCTAGCTGCTAGCGATTTTGCTTGCCTTCTAAGAACTTCTAGACGCTCTATCAGCTCTACGGGGTTCCTGGTAAGCACATCGAACTAGGATGCTCTACTGGCTTTCTCTTCCGATCATATTCTACAAACGACCAGACATCTGAGCAGCTTCAGACAACAAAAGTTCCAAGCCCGCGGCTACGTTGATTCCGAATGGCGCCCCTCTATGGGCCAAGAGTGAGCTGTTGAGCGCTGCACACGATGGGCCATAGGCACCGGCCCAGCAGCGGCAGGAGCCATCAACACAGGTCCCATAAGTACACGATGCACAGGCGCTCTGGCCTGTCAGGATAAGCAGTGCTGTCTCAAACTTAGAACATGAGATCGTGCCTAGCTGCCTGGGCCGATACAGCCGAGTGTGTCAGCGGCGGCACAGTCCCACTCACAGCCCGTAGCCGACTTGCGCCAGCCCTGGTCACATATGCATTCCTTGGCTGTCCGTGTCAGACGACCGCAGAACTGCCAAGAAATTTGTATCAAGGCTGGTCTTAGCTATCCAAAGAGAAAGGATGCGGACACATCAAGGTGTGCGTCATTGTTTGCATCGCATTGACCATGATGCCCACATCCGCAATCAATCTCGCACTCGCTGCCGCGAAATCCACGGAAGCCTTTCGTGCACGGATGCCGGTCCTACAGCTACATGTAACTCATCAAGCACCAGAAAAACTCTTTCTGCCACGACACAGCTGCATACGCCGCTGGCAATGCAGTGACCTCTCTGATTGCATCCGTTGGCACACTGAAACCTGGAGCATTTGCCGCCACTGTATTCTTCACGGCAATTACAGTGCCAGCTTCTTGAATTGCCAATGATCTCCTGAGGATCGTCCGTCTTGCTCGGGGTGTGGTTAGCTAACGATGTTCAATAACCTTGGCAACTACCTCTAAACGTCTATCGAAAAGGATTCTGGAATAATCGCAAGCTGCGGACACTTGACAAATTCCTTGATCAAAGGTACAGCGGTAGCCACAAGATGAGTAATCGGTGTAAGAAGCATCCAAACAGCTTGTGCCGGAATAGCCGCGATAGCAGTAACACTGGTCGTCTGCACCGCAGAGCCCGTTGCCTGGACATGTGCTTGTGTACCGCCCTCAGGACAAACTACCCCAGAATACAGATGAATACAGTACAATCATGCGAGGCTTTTTGAGCAGGGATTGACCCCAGCCTGAGCAGCCATCAGCACCCTGGCAGCTTGGCTTCTCATATTGACAAGATGACGGAGCGGGCTCCGTACGATTGACCAAAAAATCCTGCACAGCTTGGTACTTCACGGCTGTGTCCCTGGGCTGATCCATGGCTTCAATCATGCCCCAAGAGCCATACCTTGACGGCTTACCGCAACTTGCAAAGTAAACCATGAGGTCAAACTCTCTGTCCAGTTCGTTCAGGTACTGAGATAGGATCTCCTTCATCTTTGGGTTCCGGTGCGCCTGGATCGCCAGATCGTCCGCACTACCATCACCTTCCCCAGCTGGGCCTGCTTCATATGCCAGCAGCTTGAAGTGGCTGCCTTGAAGCACTGCCCTATGCTCACGAACTCGCTGCAATGAGGTGTTGACTTCAGCTTCGTAAGACTCCAGCACGAGGTTGAGATCAGCGTCCGGGTCTGGGAGAATGTTATACCCGTTGAAGTATGGACCTAGTCCAATCGCATCTGTGTCGTTAATGCCCTCACACTGCAGCAATTGGGCAGTGGCATCATAGTTGGAAGATTGACTCCCCGCAACAACTGTCAAGGCCCGTGTGCCATTGATCACTGCTTTTGCAATGCGGGCCATCTCCCCAGAACGCTTGGCATACCAACAGAGCTGAGACAGCCCCTCGGCTGCGCCTTGTTGCTGTGCCCACTGGCCTCCGAAAAAACCAGGGTGCCACGCCTCATTGCCCAGCTCAATATAGACGCCGAGATCTGGCCGGAGGTGTTCCTCTAAGACGTGGCGCAGGCTTCAGCATCAAAACCAAAAAGCGTCCCAATCAGTCAAGCAGCGGCAACGAAAGTCACGAACTGCTGCATGTAGTTGTTTGATGCGTTCACCGGAAGAGAAAACCAAGGCTCAGCTCCAACTTCATTCGACAAGCGAACCATGTACTCCAGACTGACCCCTGGATGCGAGCCCTGCGTATAGTAGTTTGGTGTAACCCGTTCTGCCTTGGTTCGACATAAAGATGCCAAGTCACTCTTGCAGCTTGATAGCAAAAAGTAATGCGAACAAGCCTCCCACTGCCAAGCTGTGTTCGCACTGTTGGCATGCATCCAGTCCATGAATCTTAGGACGGAAAAGCCTTCCAGGCTTGCCAGGAATGCTGGGTGAAAAGGAGACGTTCCGTACGTCTCTTCGAAGCCAGGCGTAATGATCCGAATGTTCCTTGCGGCCAGAGGTCCAAGCAAGCAGCAAAAAGAGAACAATCGTGCTGTTGATCAAGCACCCTTCCCTAAAAGTGCCTCACTGGGTCATCTTCACGCGTATCTGAGATTCGTATCCCAATTCCATTGTTCATCGACGTTGTCAAGTTCACATAAATCTGTATGTGGTTTCGTGCGATGCGATGAACAGACGTCACATCCATGTTGAACTCAAGGATACCCTCGCCATCAAACTTGACTGTGTACCAACCATCCGTGTAGTGCCTCTCAACGTCACGCACCTGAGACCAAAACAGTTGGGCTTGACATACGCGATCAACACTGAATATTCCAAGCGGCTGTCAACAACTGGGCAACTTGATTGATGTTCAGGCGTGCAGGGTATCCATCATCTCTGACTGACAAGTCGGTGCCTGCAAGCAGGAACGAAGGCTCGGGCTTTTGCAACCACTCCAGTACATTCCAGTACCCACGATCACAAGGCCTGTATTCCAGGAGTAGGATGTAAACTCCTGGGCTTGCCATTCACCCACCTGGGCTGCACGCTTCAACAAAACCACATCAACTACCAGGAGTGACTGCAAAGCGGCATTCTTGAAGACATCGACAAAGGCCCACTCCCTTCAGGGAAAGATGTTTCAACGCGAGCTCAAGGAATCTCAGTGCACTTCCGCAGCGTTTCACATCTGCGCGAGCGACGCTCCCCGGCAAATTTCTGCGCACTGCGAGATGCATCGCTTGCTGTGTCTGGAACTGAACAAGCATGCCACAAGATGCAGTCCTCGTCCAGTAGCTCACGCCGGAAAGGGACAACCCAAGCTTCCGACCCCGATGGCATTCTGCGCTCTCGAGCTGGGAGCAGTCAGCACCACTTGCCTGATCAGCGCGCAAGGTGCAACAAGATGCACATTGTCGACCTGGGCCACCATGACAGACGGCTCTGAGCTCAAAGCTCCCTTCCAGCACTTGCAGGTCCCCAGCTCACAAATGCCGTGCACGCAGGTCTGTGGACATGATGCGGGCTCATCAGCAGAGATGACAGGTGTGGCTCGTCGGCCATGCACATAGCCTCATATCGCACCAATGCACATTGCGTGAGCTCTGTATCTAATTTATCCTAGCAGCCCGACATGGCTCGCCGGATAGGACTGTCGTCATCCCAGTGCAGCATGATGGAGGCTTGCCCACACGCCTTGCCACCTTTTCAGGAAACCACATCATGATCTACAATCTGATGACATCTGCATCGAGTCAATGCCGATCCTGACCAGCAACTTCTAGCCAAACGCACCATTTGCCCACCTGCACATCTGCGCGAGTCACCGCCAAGTCCAATGCAAAAAGTGGTAGGAACTGCACTAGGAACTGCCATAACAGAGCTGGCATGCATGACAGCGTGGTTGCTTGCCAAGCACTGCTTAGAATTCCAGGCTCTGCCTACAACTGTGGAGAAACCAATCTGACGCAACCGCTCCAGGTAATCGAGCATCAAGTCTTCCATGGCTGGCTCGCGGAAAGCCGCAATCCTAGATGAAAAGCAAATGTCATGCCGCACGCCACCGCAACTGCTGGAGAAGCCTGATTGCGAGACCAGCATCATCTTGTTTTCCAAGTTCTGCTCGCTAGCAGCCGCTGCGATAATGCCAGGCAGAAGTGTTCGCAGCTCATCCAAGGTGAGGCCTGGCATGCTTTGTATACAAGCGGGGAGTTCCAGGAGCCCTCTTACTCACATGAGTCGCATGAGAGCAAGATGCAGACAATGGCGTGCCTGCAGATGGTGGGTTCCAATATTCGGACACATAGGCATGCTCGCACCTTACATCGATACGACAACAAGATGCGAGAACGGAAAACGTTGCCAAAGCTCATGTAGGTACATCCCAGAAGACCGTGTGGGCCAAATCGAAGTAAGCAGGAGCGAACTGTTTCATGGACAGCTGAAAACCAGACGGCAGGTCTCGGTCTTAGTCAAAGTTAGTGGAGACGGCCAGGAAGGGCCACGCCCAAGACATAATATGTCCCGAAGACCTGGGCCTTCCACGAATCATGGGTCGCGTAAATACGCACAATCGCTCATGCAGCAGCCACCGATCGAGCAGACAGCGTGACATGAATTGGTCGTTGGGGAAAGGGTGCATTTGACATCGCGCAGCAAAGATCAGCGAACCCCACGTTGCCAACAGCTGTTGCTCTGTTCCTGCCAGAGGCCCAGGGCATTTTCAACCACATTGCATGCACGATAATCGGATAACAGAATGAAGTCTGCCTGCAGCTGACAGCATGAGCAGAAAAAAAGCAGCCAAGCCCCGGCTGTGAATTGTTTCATGCATTGTTGGTGGCAAGGCGAACCACTGCCTATTCGCTTCGGATTGGTGGCAGCTTCAATCTGGGAGTGGATTGCGCAAGCACAGCACGCGCTTGCCCTCGCAAGCCCATCCGAAGCCGAAAGTATGCATATGCGGCAAAACGGGTATAATCCTGAGAACGGAACAGCTGATTGCAAATGCTGGACCCATTTTTTGCAGAGAGTCGGGAGATGACCACCACCCTGAGGCAACATCCCCCCCAGCATCCCCCACTCGCAATCTCTCGTCAGTCGAATATCCGAAATCCCTCACCCGCAGTCGTGATGCTAATCCTAGATCCTAAACGCACAAGCTTGGGGGGTGGAACTGGTAGTCTCCACCGTCCTTCCATGTGCTGGGCACGGTTACGCAGAACTTTCCCCTCGAGGCAGATCTTGAGGTCACCACGAAGTCTGACAAGTGTCCCGGGCTGCCAGCTCTGCAGCAGCTGTATCTGCGAAGCCTGAATCAGGCAGCCAGGAGATTTTGTGGGGCGTGGCAGGTCCCATTGCTGTTTCTGCATGCCGAAGCATGGACATGACCCCTGCATAGGAGGTGCACAAATCAAGAAGTGTACCAAGTTGCCATTAATGAGCGTGCTGATTGCACAAATCGAGAATCTTGGTAGTCCAGCACCTACTCATTACTCCGTTGTCACGAACACTCCATCCCCCAACCCTCATAACCGACAGGTTATGAGCCCAAACCTGACCACTTCGCATGACACGACAACACCCTCAGCATCCACAACTCCACCAGCACTTGCAGCAGCGGCAGAGGAGCAGCAGCAGCAGGCTGGCGTTGTGACAGTTCAGCAGATGACGCGCATTAGTCTTCCAGCAGATACCCTCCGGGCATTTCAGACGAGTATTGGCGAAGATCTTAGTTTTGCGGCTGACATTCAGGCTGCAGTAACGGAACTATCATCTCGCGTACAGTACCGCACGGAAATCTTGGCTAGTGCTGTTGGATCGATTGGCGGGTCAGTTGCCGATATGCAAGCGGGTTGTCAACAGTTGGCGGTCGCTCTGGAGCAACTCCAGGATAGAGTGAATCGACAACAAACACCTAGCGTTGAACAGATCCTAAGTGATTTGCAGCGGCAGGGAAATATCATACAGTCTTTGGTGGAGTCCAGAGACCAAACCCGACACGAGCTTGATCAACTCAAAGCGGATTTACAGAGGTACTTTGAAAACACGAATCAGGAGGTAGTTTCGGTCAGGCACCAGTTGGACATTTCTTTGCAGAGAGAGGCAAGACTACTGGCTACGGTGGAAACCTTGTCAGGACAGTTTGCCGAGCTGGAAAGGTCAACACGCAACATGGAGCAGAACATGACCGAACATAAGCGGCGCTTGGATACACACGAGGCCATTGTGTATGCTCCGCCGGAGGGTTCTGCAAGCGACACTTCAACGGCTCAGGCTGTAAGGGCCCTGGCTGAGAGGGTGGAAACCGAGTTAGCAGCCCTCAAGGAGTCATTCTTCCAGCAGGACGATACCATAGAGTCTTTGCGGCAGAGTTGCTCAGAGGCCAATGACAGGCTGGATGCATGGGACAAGTATCTGGACGCAACGGAGTTGTCTGCAAGGGACAATACTGAGGCAAAAAGTCCGGAGTTCGGTGCATCTGGAAACAGCAATGAGACGTCTGCACAGGACGTGTCTGGGGCTACTGGTCAGGCGCTGGGTGGATCAGAGAACACAACCGTTTTCTTCAATCTGACACCGGACATATCGGAGCCTCCGACTTTGGCAGTGCCAGAGGACAGTGAGAGTGGTTGGTGGAATAGTCAGGGGCCACAAGAAGGCCCAACTGAGAACCCCACCGTATCAACAATTTGGAATCTGACAGAGCCTCCGGGGTTGCCAGCATGGGCAACTGAGAAAGGGGCTGAAGAGCCTAAGCCTATTCACCATGGAAGATGGAAGTTGCTGAACGACGTTCCAGGATTCACCGCCGGAGGAGGTGAGCCCTGGGAGGTCTGTATGCGATTGAAGACGTGGTGGAGACAGGTGGAGACAGTGGCTGGGACTGTAGATTCGAGGTTCGGGGCATACGTCTCAGGACAGTTCGCCGAAGCTGAGCGCAGACACAAGCAGAGATTGGAAGGTCATTTCCAGCTACCACGACCAGATCCAGTGCCTGAGGCAAACCTGGAGATGGAGAGTAGGCTTACTTTGCTGTTGATCCGACGCTTGCCCGCTGAGCTGAAGCAACCGGTCCTGGAAAACCTGGATGAGCAGACCATTCGTGCATTGGAACTATTGGAAGGAATTCTTGAGCAGCAGCAGCCGGGTGGACATCAAGAAATGAAGTCCTTGCAAAGTTTCATTCGACATATGGATCCAGCACCTACAGCAAAGGAGGCACAGGAGTCATTGAGAAGATGGAAGCTAGCACGTACAAGAGCAGCTACTTTGGGTTAGCCAGCAGTAGCGCCATTCGAGGAGTTGCAAGCGTTGGGATCTTTGTTGAAGACTTTGGAGCGGCGCACAGACACTTTTCGAACTTTGCTAGGGTTGATACGCACTCGCCCCGAGGTAGTGAGGCCATCTCCTGCAGGCGTTACGGGCATGGTACAACTCATTGAGCAGCAGCTGCAACTCTTGTGCGCGGAGGGGAATATCAAACGAAATCGTAGGGAGGCAGATGAAATGGCTCAAGCAGCCAAGGGCAAGACCAAGAAAGGAAAGGGCAAGGGCGAAAAGGGCAATCAAGGTGGCAAGGGCGAAGCAAAGACAAATCCTGGGAAGACAAGCGGAGGGCCACAGGGCTCAGGAAAGGGCACAGGCACAGATTCCCGGAAAAATATGCCATGTCCGCTGGTGGTTGCCAAAGACAGCCTTGCCCATTTTCCCATGACGAGAAACACAAGCCGAAGGCCAAGGATACCACAGCTAAGGATACAGCAGCCGCACAAGCCTTGATTGGAGTGGATGGTACCGCAGCTCAGGCTGCGCAACCGAAACCAAAACCGAAGCCAAAGTCAAAAGCAAAGGCTTCTTCTGTTGTATCAGTGGCGAACATGGCAAGGAGGGCAGAAGGATACAATCACAACTTCGACACGGACAGCAGCGACTCAGGATCGGCGTTATCGGAGTTTTCTGCGGGGCCTGTGAGCTCTGGAAACAGCACTCCTAGTGTCTTGAGTTCCAATCACGGCGATGAGGATCCTTTGGCGGCAATGCTGGAAGCCATGGACTTGGCTAGGGCAGATCAGGAAGATTTGAGCTATCTCATTTTGGATCCGGATGAGTATGTTCGTTGGAGACAACCTGGGATAGCGCATAGCCGAGCACACAGGCAGTGGCGGGAAGTAGACATGGGCCCAAATGCACCGCCAAACGTGGCAATCGCTATTTGGATGGTCCTGCGGCATTCGGACTTTGAAACACCTTTGATGGACACGGAGATATCGCCGTCTCAAGAAATAGCAAGACTAGACCAAATCTTGATTGGGTGTGAAGATGGGATACCGCGAGAGGGCTATGTAGCATGGTGCGTTGATTTGGAAACTGGAGGCGAAGTTTTCATGACAGTCACGAGGCGAAGTTACAATCCCCTGACAAGACCATACGTTCCCGTCGCAAACAAGGCATCCTTGAGTCGCGTGGAAGATTGCGTTTTGTTGGACACTGGAGCAAACTGGTTGTGGTCCGAAGCCTGTTAGGTCGAAGCTGTCTCCTTTGCAGCTGGCAGATGGAAGTCAAGTTGAAGCGTGGAGAACCAGAGATGGAGACATTTTTGTGGAATCCCAAGATGGGAATACAACCTTGTGTGGAGTTTGCCGATTGATCTCTGTGGGCGCAGCCTTTTCTTGGGATAGAGAGGGTGCGCACTTGAGAATGCCAAGTGAGCTTGGAGGAGATTGGATCGGCTTGCAGACACAGAATGGGTTACCGTACCTAACGCTTGCGACCATTGCTTTCCAAGGATTACAAATCCTGTTGTTCGGCGGCAGTATGTGATATGGAACCATGCCAAAAAGTGGTGGACTGGTCGGATCTAGACGATCTTGTGGTGGAGCAGGAGTCTCTAGCGGAGGCAAACAAAGCGGTACACAGTGATGGCGAGGAGATGGCCAAGCAGTTGCTCCAGAAAGGGGGTGCCATCACGTTAGCGGATGTTAATCGGGTTCTGAAAGAGGCTAAGCTTCCTGCTGCAAGGACAAATCGCATGAACAAGGTCAACAACACAGAGACCAAGTTGAACTTGTGGGTCTTTGGAGGTTGGAAGAAGGGCGGCCTAGGAGGAGTGACCCGTGTTGCCCACGACAGGCCCTGGCTCACAAGGGTCCTCACACGCTTCACGCAAAGCCAAACCAGCGAACCTTTCA